AAAAAAGAGCCGCCAGGTGCTAAAAAAATAGACCTTAGACTCAAACGTTAGAACAGGCTTTTCCCCGCAGCACGCCGTGTAATAAATACTCACAAAGACAACGGCGGCCGTTACAACTTATGTCTAAAAATCGTTTCATGCATCGGTTAAAACACTCGACTCCAGCTACACGACGCGCAGCTGGAAACACTTCACGCAAGACGAGCTGCCCGAGATTCACAGAATTTAAAGAAAATGTTACATTTTTGTGATTTATATCGTTATCGGGACGATAGAATTCTTATATCGGGATATGAGATTTTGGTCCTATCGCACAGCCCTACTCTGTAGTGCAGTCAGGTGGATCCAGCAAATCTGAGAACACATAGGATTGCATGAACCCAAAAACAATGCTTCTAGAGATACAATAATGCACCATACAGGTTAGAGGTCAATTCTGAATGCCTTCAAACTACACTGAGCCAATTTGTTACTACACCTATGCAACTTCTTAATGCAATTTGCGATAGACTTTTTTCTCCATTAGGGTAGCTGACAACCATTGGTAAGTTTTTTATTAAAGAAAAAAAGGTTTGTTGAGAAACTTTAGTTTCAGACAGTAATTTTTCAATGCAAAAAAAAATAACAGTCTACTTTTTTTTAGCTCTAGTTCTCCTCTTCCATTAAGGAAGCCATTTTTGTTGTCTCAGTTTCAGACACCTGAGATATGATCGTGGAACAAATTACATCAGGAAATGCCAAATGCACTTAAAATCTCCCGAAAAAGCCATTAAGTGACTGTTTTTGATTTAGTTTTTATCTGTGGTGCCAAACGCAGGCTGCATCAGACCAGACTTCTGTCATTACCCATGTGGTGTCTCCTCCTGGCTTCCTTGCTGTCTCTTTGCTGCCGCTTATCTAATAAAAGCACTAGCAGTCCAAAAAAATTAAGTATTTAAAACTAAAGGCCAAAAACTACAGTACACCTACCAAAAACAGAAAATTATGTTTTTCGGTGTTTATAACTGATAATATATCCCTTTAAAAAGCCAAATATGTTACAGAAAAATATTTCCAGACACAAACAAGTGTGCGGGAGAGATACGGTGCATGTGTCTTTAATTAAGAGCCATGTTTTTGTCGCCAAAAAAAATAAAAAAAATACTATTTTTTTAAGCGATTAACTGAGAAGAAAAGAGGGAGGACATGCTGGTAAACTGCAGATAAAACCAAAAAATGAGGAAAATAAAAAGTGGGTGGAAAGCAGAGCATCAGAAGATAGGGTAGGAGGGCAAGGTCAAAAATAAAAGATAAAAGGCTTTTAAGTATCTTTTATCAGTGCAGAAAACAGCTGAATGTTTAGAGAATGTATCTGCTGGAGGCACCAGGCAGCAGAGAGATGACATTTAGAGAAGAAAAAGAGCAGAGAAAAGCAGCCGCTCACTTCCTCCTGAACTCCTAACCACGCTGTATAACAAAGTATAAACCATAGAGTGGATATTTTAACCCTTTTCATGCCCTCTGCTAATGTTTGACTTTCATTTAAAGTGATGAAAAACACCCTTCTTTCTCCCAACCACAAGACAAGAGGCACTAATTTGAATTGAGGATGAAAACCGAAGACCAGCCGCCTCTCCATCATTTTTTTTTTTTTTTTTTTTTTAAAGATGTGACACAAATTGACGCACAAAACAAAAACTGTTTTGTTTTTTGGTCCCTGATTAAGTTTATTTAAATGACAGTAACTTGACAGTGGAAAGGA